TAATTATCCAAATCGGTTTTCGATTTTCGAAGAAGCCAATTCAATTACTATATTGCCTTCCCCCCACCGCCACCCACTACCCCCCCCAAAAAAAGATTAACGGTAAACTGTGTACAAAACAAGTCACAAAAAGCCACCCCACCCCCCAAAAAAAGAAAAGAAATGAAAAGAAAATGAAATAAGGAGAGAGGAAACATTAAAAAAATGCAAAGAAAAGTTTTTTTAATAAAAATAAGCGAGTTAGCAATTGCACTGAACAAAAAGTGTGGTGGGGGTGGGGGTTGAATAAAGAGGGGGGGGGGGTGAATAAAGAGGGGGGGTGAATAAAGATAGCCTGAATTTCTAAACTCTTGCTATCTATGTATATATACATATATGTATAAAATATATATAAATAGAAAAGTTTTCTCAATTGGAATTCCTTGCAGGAACCTCCCCCCCCCAAAAAAATGGTCAAAATTTATTGCCCAGTTGCCCCCTCTATCTCTTGTTCGGCAAACTGTTCCCGGGACGATTGGGGGCATTATCCTGGGATAAGCCGTCCCACAGGCTGTGCTGAGCTAAGCGGAGCTGAGCTGTGCTGTGTGCTGTGCTGTGTTGAGCTGTGCTGTGCTGTATGGAGCTGAGCTGTACTGAGCTATGCGGAGCTGTGTGCTGAGCTGTGCTGTGTGCTGAGCTGTGTGCTGAGCTGTGCTGTGTGCTGAGCTGTGTGCTGAGCTGTGCTGTGTGCTGAGCTATGCTGTGCTGTGTGCTGAGCTATGCTGTGCTGTGTGCTGAGCTGTGTGCTGAGCTGTGCTATGCTGTGTGCTGAGCTGTGTGCTGAGCTATGCTGTGCTGTGTGCTGAGCTATGCTGTGCTGTGTGCTGAGCTGTGCTATGCTGTGTGCTGTGCTGTGTGCTGAGCTGTACTGAGCTGTGCTGTGTGCTGTGCTAAGCTGTGTGCTGAGCTGAGCTATGCTGTGTGCTGTGCTGTGTGCTGAGCTGTGCAGTGCTGAGCTGTGCAGTGCTGAGCTGTGCTGTGCTGAGCTGTGCTATGTGCTGAGCTGTGTGCTGTGCTGAGCTGTGTGCTGAGTGTTGTGCTGAGCTGTGCTGTGTGCTGAGCTGTGTGTTGTGCTGAGCTGTGCTGTGTGCTGAGCTGTGCTGTGTGTTGTGCTGAGCTGTGCTGTGTGCTGAGTGTGCTGTGTGTGTGTGCTGTGTGCTGAGCTGTGCTGTGTGCTGAGTGTGCTGAGCTGTGCTGTGTGTTGTGCTGAGCTGTGCTGTGTGCTGAGCTGTGCTGTGTGCTGAGCTGTGCTGTGTGCTGAGTGTGCTGTGTGCTGAGCTGTGCTGGTGTGCTGTGTGTGTGCTGTGTGCTGGTGGCTGTGTGCTGTGTGCTGTGTGGCTGTGTGCTGGTGGCTGTGTGCTGAGCGGCTGTGTGCTGTGTGCTGAGTGTGCTGAGCTGTGTGCTGAGTGTGCTGTGTGCTGAGTGTGCTGAGCTGTGTGCTGAGTGTGCTGTGTGCTGAGCTGTGCTGTGTGCTGAGTGTGCTGAGTGTGCTGTGTGCTGAGCTGTGCTGTGTGCTGAGTGTGCTGAGCTGTGCTGAGTGTGCTGTGTGCTGAGTGTGCTGTGTGCTGAGTGTGCTGAGCTGTGTGCTGAGCTGTGCTGTGTGCTGAGCTGTGCAGTGCTGAGCTGTGCTGTGTGCTGAGCTGTGCTGAGTGCTGAGCTGTGCTGTGTGCTGAGTGTGCTGAGCTGTGTGTTGTGCTGAGTGTTGCTGTGTGCTGAGCTGTGCTGTGTGTTGTGCTGTGTGCTGAGTGTGCTGAGCTGTGTGTTGTGCTGTGTGCTGAGCTGTGCTGAGCTGTGCTGAGCGTCTCGGCTCTGCCCCTCTCCCTGTGTGGATGTGTGTGTGTGAGTCTGTCCTCTGTCTGCGCTCTGTTGCATTGCGCTGTACGTGCGGCTCAGTCCCCCCCCCCCCCCCCAGGCGGCTTGTGCCGGGCAGGAGGTCGCTGCTCTGCTGCCGGGAGCTCGCCACGCGTCTGTGGGTGTTGGTGGTGTGTGTGTGTGGGGGGTGTCCCAGGACAGCAAACACAGCCATTGCAAAACAACCTCCCCCCCTCCCCCTCCTCCCCCCCCTATTTCTCTTCCTCCTTTCCCCCCCGAGGGATCAGAGAGAGGGGGAGAGGGAGAGACGATCGCCACCTCTCCCACAGCAGCCAACACTGCGCGTAATGCGCACTCCCACAGACTGTGTGTGTGACTGAGTGTCCGTCAGCACTGCGCTTTGCAATGAGCCAACACCAGGCGAGGCGTGGGGGGGGGGGGGGTGGTGTGGGAGTGGGGGGGGAGGTGTGTGTGTGTGGGAGTGTGTGTGGGGAGGTGTGTGTGGGTGTGTGTGGGGGGTGTGTGTGGGAGTGTGTGTGTGGTGTGTGTGGGAGTGTGTGTGTGTGTGGGAGGTGTGTGTGGGAGTGTGTGTGTGTGGGTGTGTGTGTGTGGGGTGTGTGGTGGGGGTGTGTGTGTGTGTGGGAGTGTGTGTGGGGGGGGGGAGTGTGTGTGGGGTGTGTGTGTGTGGGGGGGTGTGTGTGTGGGGGGGGGGTGTGTGTGGGGGTGTATGTGTGGGGTGTGGGGTGGGTGTGTGTGTGTGTGTGTGGGGGGGTGGGTGTGTGTGTGTGGGAGTGAGTGTGTGTGGGAGTGTGTGTGTGTGTGTGTGGAGAGGTGTGTGTGTGTGGGGGGGGGAGTGTGTGTGTGAGTGTGTGTGGGTGTGTGTGTGTGTGGGGGGGGGGTGTGGGAGTGTGTGTGTGGGAGTGTGTGTGTGTGGGGAGGTGTGTGGGGAGGTGTGTGGGAGTGTGTGTGTGGGAGTGTGTGTGTGTGGGAGTGTGTGGGTGTGTGTGTGGGAGTGTGTATGTGTGGGGGTGTGTGTGTGTGGGAGTGTGTGGAGAGGAGTGTGTGTGTGTGTGGGGAGTGTGTGAGTGTGTGTGTGGGGGGGGTGTGTGTGTGTGGGAGTGTGTGTGTGTGTGTGGGGTGTGTGGGAGTGTGTGTGTGTAGGTGTGTATGTGTGTGTGTGTGTGTGTGGGAGTGTGTGTGTGGGAGTGAGGAGAGGAGTGTGTGTGTGTGTGTGGTGGGGGGGGGGGGAGGTGTGGGAGTGTGTGTGTGGGGGGGGTGTGTGTGAGTGTGTGTGGGGGTGTGGGGGTGTGTGTGTGTGGGGAGTGTGGGAGTGTGTGTGTGGGGTGTGTGGGAGTGTGTGTGTGGGGTGTGTGGGAGTGTGTGTGTGTGTGGGAGTGTGTGTGGGGGTGTGTGTGAGTGTGTGTGTGGGAGTGTGTGTGTGTGTGTGTGTGTGTGTGTGAGTGTGTGTGGGGTGTGTGTGTGTGAGTGTGTGTGGGAGTGTGTGTGTGTGTGTGGGAGTGTGTGTGAGTGTGTGTGTGTGGGGGGGTGTGGGAGTGTGTGTGTGGGAGTCTGTGTGTGTGGGGGGGTGTGTGTGGGAGTCTGTGTGTGTGGGGGGGTGTGTGTGGGAGTGTGTGTGAGTGTGTGTGGTGTGTGTGTGTGTGGGTGTGTGTGTGTGGGTGTGTGAGTGTGTGTGTGTGGGGGTGTGTGTGTGGTGGGGGGGGTGTGGTTTTCCCAGGCTTTTGCACAGCTGCAATCCCCCCCTCTCCCCCCCCCCTCTCTCCCTCAGTAATACAGTGTTGGCACGTGCTCATGATTGATAATAGAGCTCACATCGCGCGCCGACAGACGTCAAACCGCCCCGGGCCCCCCCCCCCCCACACACACCCCCACACCCCCTCCTATCCCTCCTGGGAGGGGTGTGAGTGAGTGAGTGAGTGGGTGAGTGAGTGACAGGCCGTCCGGCTGCAGCTCCACACACTTATTGGCCGCGGCCCCGGGGCTGCCCGGTGCGGACCGGGCGGTGATTGGTGTGGAGTGAGTGTGGGAAAGAAAGTCTGAGGAGTTTCACACGAGCCATTCGCGTGCGATCCTCAGTATAAATACCTGAGGCCAGAGACACGCACACACAGACACCACCACACACACACACAGGGGGAGAGAGAGGGTCACACACACACACACACAGGGGGAGAGAGAGTCACACACACACACAGGGGGAGAGAGGGGCGCAGGGGGAGAGAGGGGAACACACAGGGGGAGAGAGAGTCACACACACACACAGGGGGAGAGAGAGAGTCTCGCACACACACACAGGGGGAGAGAGGGGCACAGGGGAGAGAGAGAGAGAGTCACACACACACAGGGGGAGAGAGAGAGTCACACACACACACACACAGGGGGAGAGAGAGGGGCACAGGGGGAGAGAAGAGAGAGTCACACACACACACAGGGGGAGAGAGAGAGACACACACACACAGGGGGAGAGAGAGGGACACAGGGGAGAGAGAGAGAGAGTCACACACACAGGGGGAGAGGGACACGGGGGGAGAGAGAGAGACACACACACACGGGGAGAGAGAGGGGCACACACACACATACGGGGAGAGACACACACAGGGGGAGAGAGCACAGGGGGAGAGACACACACAGACACCACCACACACACACACACACACAGGGGGAGAGGGACACGGAGAGAGAGAGAGTCACACACACACACACACGGGGAGAGAGGGGGGCACAGGGGGAGAGAGAGAGTCACAGGTGGAGAGACACAGACACCACCACACACACACACGGGGAGAGAGAGAGAGAGAGACACACGGGGAGAGACACACAGAGAGGGGCTGCTCTGGAGCTTTTATATTTAGCACAACTCTCTCTCTCTCACTCACACACACACACACACACACGACATATGTGTCCAGATATCATTGCAGATAAACCACAATAACAGCAAAAAGTAGAGGGAGAGAGAGAGGGGTTTTTTTTTAACCTGAAAAAGGACCAGACAGTCAGTCAGACAGACAGAGAGAGAGAGAGGGGCATTTATTATTATTTACCCCGAGAAAGAAAAAGAGAGGGGCAGATAAACATTTATATACACATATATATACATATACACATATATTTTAAAGAAACCTGAGGGAAAAAAATATTTTTTTGGAGTGGTGGTGGTGGAGGGGGGGAAGAGGGGGGAATAAATCCCACAGTTTTTGTTAACCAGGAGGTGGAAAGAACATTTTTTTAAATAAAAAACACTACCACAAAGGCACAGAGACAGACACAGAGACAGAGAGAGAGAGAGAGAGAAATTTATCGCCTGGAAATCGAGCGCAAAAGGGGGTTCGTTCGAAACCCGTCTCGTGGAATCCGTCGCGAAAATGCCCTCAGACGTCCTGGAGAAAGCGTCCGCCTCTCCCGCGGCCGCCACTCCCGCAAACCTCACCCCGGGGTCAGATAAGCCGAAGACCGCCTCTGAGACCCGAAAGGTAAGAAGAAGAAGAAGAAGCAGAAGAAGAAGTAAAAGAAGAGGGAAGAATATTAATAATAACACGAACTGATAAAAAGCCCTTCTCGCTCTGTCGCTGTCTGCAGTCGGGTGCGCGTTGCGTGGAAGTTTCACGGAGACGCGGTCGTGTTTTTTTTTCTTTTGCATCCAAGTCACTTTTTTTTTCTCTCTCTCTCTCTCTCTCTCTCTCTCACACACCCTCTGCTTTATTTTTTTTCTTCTTCCAGTCCTCCAAACCGATCATGGAGAAGAGGCGCCGCGCTCGGATCAACGAAAGTCTGAGTCAGCTCAAGACGCTCATCCTGGACGCCCTGAAGAAAGATGTGAGTACTTTGCGGCTCAAACTCCTGAGACCCCCACACACACACCTCCACCTCCCAAGTCGCTGGAGTTAAGACTCCTGGCAGATTGCAGCTCACTTTTCCAGCAAAACCTCCCCCCCCCCCCCCAAAAAAAAAAAATAAAAAATTCGTATTTGTGTATATCTGTCTATATATAATATAAATATAATATATATATACATAATCTAATATACACACATATATATATACATAATATAATGTATAAATATGTAATATATAAATACATATACATAATAGAATATATAAATATATAATATATAAATATATATACATGGTATAAATATAACATATAAATATATTTACATGATATAATATGATATATAAATATATATGCATAATATAATATATAAGATACATATATATAATATATACATATATAATATACAAATATATATACATGATATAATATGATATATAAATATATATACATGATATAATATGATATATAAATATATATACATGATATAATATATAAATTATATTTATTTGTTGTTGCTTCGCTTTCGTAGAGTTCCAGGCATTCGAAGTTAGAAAAGGCTGATATCCTCGAAATGACAGTCAAACACCTGAGAAATCTGCAGAGAGCTCAGATGACTGGTGAGCATAGCTATTTTTGTCTTAAATGCACTTAAAAAGAGAATATGCCTATGTGTGTGTGTGTTGTACTTGTCTGTGTGTGTGCATTTGTGGAAATGATTTGCTTTTAAAAACCTTTCCAGAAACGGCGTGAATTATAATGAGTGTAATATCATTTTCAAAATAATTATTTTGAATATATACTCAAAATAAATCTTTAGTTTATTGCTGTCTTCTTAAATCTCCTTATGTGTGTGTGTGTTGGGATGTGAGGGTGGGGGTGTGGGGGGGGGGGGGGGGGGGTAGTTCACACTGACTTGGCAAAACATAGTGCTTCCCATGATCTGAGGTGATTTATGGATTTTTTGTTTAAAAAAGACTTGGCGGCTGTGTTTCATTTTTTTTTGGTGGGGGGGGACAGTTTATTACAATTAAAAGGGGACTGTGCGGTGGTTTTCAGTTGTGGTATCTTTGGAGAAGTGTGTGTATATATGTGTGTGTGTGTGTGTGTGTGTGTGGATTTAGTGGTTAAAGATATAAAGTGAATTAGAAAAAGTCTGGGCAACTTTTTTACACTGGAATAATCGTAGGATTATTTATTCCTAATGTGTTGCTTTCTTTTGCTTCTCTCCCTCCTCCTCTCTCCCTCCTCTCCTCTCTTTATCCCTCTTCTCTCTCTCTCTCTCCCTCCCTCCCTCCTCTCTCCCTCTCCTCCTCTCTCTCTCTCTCTCTCCCTCCTCTCCCCCTCTCTCCCTCTCTTCCTCCTCCTCTCTCTCCCTCCTCTTCTCTCTCTCAGTTGCTCTGAGCACCGACCCCACAGTCCTGGGCAAGTACCGAGCGGGTTTCAGCGAGTGCATGAACGAGGTCACCCGATTCCTATCGACGTGCGAAGGGGTTAACTCAGAAGTGCGCACCCGACTGCTCAGCCACTTGGCCAACTGCATGTCCCAGATCAACGCCATGAACTACTGCCAGCCCCTGCCTCCCCCGCCCCCGGGCCAGGCGGGGGTGACCGGCGCCTCGCACGCCGCCTTCGGACAGCCCTTGCACGTCCATTTACCGGGATCGCTGGGCAACGGGGTCGCCGGAGCCGGAGCTCTCAACGTGTCCTGCAAGCTGACCTCTGGGGCCCCGGTGAACGGGGCAGCCCCGGGCGCCGCTAAGATGTGCGGTGGTTTCCAACTGGTACCCGCTTCCGACGGGCAGTTCGCTTTCCTGATCCCCAACGCGGCTTTCGGACCCGGTGGGCAGTTGACGGCAGGACCTGTCATCCCTCTGTACGCCAACGCCTCTACATTGGCTCCAAGTCTCAGCAACGCCAGCAACAGCAGCATCAACACCACCACCAGTTCTTCCTCCTCCTCCTCCTCCATCTCTCCCGTCAATGGCTCGCTCTTACAGACGCATGGCATCAGTTTCCCTGCCGCGCTCTCTCTCGCCAACGCGACTGCCGTCAGTCCGCTCGGTGCCGTTTTGGCAGGAGATTGTTTGGATTCCGTGTGGCGACCTTGGTAACTCAAACCCCCCATCCCCAACCCCAACCCACCACCATCATCAGGTGGAGAAAGAGAGTCACAGAGAGAGAGAGAGAGAGAGGGAGACTCACAAAAGACTGAAGGAGAAATGGAGAGAAACTTCTCAAAGTGACCTATAAAAAGTTCCTACCTTCTCCAACCCCCACCCCCCACAACTCCGCTCCCTCCACTTCTGTGTCCACAGTTGTACTTTTAAGGACGGTATCTCTCATCCCATCAAATACTCAAAAAGTGTCCTATTAAAAAGTTCCTAACTTTCTTTTTTCTCCCCAACCCCTACACACACTTCTGTCATATTGTACAGTGAGGACAACACACACACACTCTCTCTCACCCCCCACCCCTTCCCCCATTCATCCCTGCACTATATTTGTACATAACTTTAGAAATGTTCCTGTTTGAATTTGTCTTGTTAAAAAAAGGAGAGGGGGGGGGAAAAAAATAACCCGCTCATCTTTCTAACGAGATGACGTTTTTTTCCTCTCCACCAAAATATGCCAAAGAGAACTGAATGAATGCTCTTTAAAACAACGACAAAAGAAGTTTTCTTCCGTTTAGGAAGATTTATTTGAAATAATAAAAAAAGAAATGATATTTTAAGTCTATGCCTCTGACCCATCTTTCGCCCATAAGATATATACAGTCAATTTACTTTACAGTATATCCTGTGAAGCACTTTGAGACGTCTCAACGACGTGATAAAGCACAATATCAAATGCACAGATTATTATTTTTCTTATCTATCTCCCTTGGTTTCCCTCCTCCCTCCCTTTCACAAACACACACACACAAAAGCATCTTGAGCAACTGTTAAGACATTTGCAGGATAATGGGAGTGAAACATCTCATTAATTGCGGCTTAAACGTAATACAAAGCACAGAAGGTAATTGAATGGGGGTAAAGGAGAGAATGCGCTGTTCGCAAATACAGTACCTCAGCTCATGTTAGCAACACTAAGCGAATCATTCGCAAACACCCGCTTCCCCATTGCCAGAAACAATAGGGAGGAATCTCATTATGAGGCCCACATTGTTAAAGGCTCCCAAGTGTTTAGCCATAAATGACCTCCTCCCAACACACATTACAGTGTTTCAATCAGATTTTGAATTTGGCGCCCGCTCCATGGTATTGTTAACGAATGGGTGAAACAACAACACCCCCCCCACGCACACACACACAAATATCTCTCCCACTTTGCTTTCCCTCCCCTCCTTTAATTATGCCAGACTATTGTGACTTGTCTTTCACTATCAGATTTCGATGAGTGTCTCTGCCTTTTCTGTTTAGGATTTCTCATCTTCAGGAAAGACTAGAGAGAGAGAGAGAGAGAGAGGGGGGGGTGGGGGGGAGAGAGTTCTTCAAACAGACTGAATCCAGGAGGAATTCAGTTCAGTCCCTGCCACAAGACTTGTTGCATTTTGTCTAGTGATGCAGGTGTTTGGGTCATAAACCTATCCAGGTGTAGTGTGTGTGTGGTGATGGGGGTGAGGGAGGAGAGAGAGACAAAGAGAGAGGGAGATGGAGAGAGACTCAGGTTGTATTAGCATCTCTTAGAGCCCAAATAGGTTGGGGGGGGGGGGGGGAGAGGGGAGAAAGAGGTTGCTTTTTTTAATGTGTGAAATGAACAAAAATAGTCACATTTCTCAAAGTGTCATTCACCTGGTTTTAGTCAACGTTACAAATAACAACAGCAACTTGAATTATAAAGCACTCCCCACTCAGGGAAGCACAAACACACAGAGAACAGACAGAGATAGAGGAGCGAACGAACACACAGATAGAGAGAACAGAGAGAGAGCACACATACAGCGAAATAAAGAGAGAGATAAAAGTCTTTTTTATAGGGTGGGGGGGAGGTGATAAGTGGGAAAAATCAAACCCATTGCTTACTCGGTGTCAATCCAGAATGGCCCTAAATTCAGTACTTGGGGTTTAAGAAGCTGTGTTAAGTGGAGACTGTCGGTGACCAGAAACATCTCCAAAATAGAGGTGACAATGCAATGGCTTAAATACGAATAAATACTCTCATTTTGGTCCAGTTCACATGATTTTAAGACATAGTGAAATGTGTGTGTTTTTATTGAGGGGGGTGGGGGTAGAATAAGTTAAACACACTTGTTTACCCTCAGATGCTCATCTAATTATCAGTTTTCACGCAGTTTCTCCAGATATTTGCCTATTGAGATTAACGTTACGCTTTTGTAAAGCCTTTTTTTGGTGGGGGGAGATTCAAGCGCATCTTGGATCACCTTTAAACGAATGCTCCTTCGTCGCTCTCTCTCTCTCTCTCTCTCTCTCTGTCTGTCTTTTCCTGTCTTAAGAAAACGCGCTGACATTGCAGAACAGTCTGTGAGGCGTTAGAAGGATATCGAATGAAGACTATTCTGAACCTGTTTATTGCCCTCTGTCTGTATGTCTGTCTGTCTCCCCTCCCTCCCTCCCTCCCCATCACCCCTAAATAAACCGCACAGCCAACAGCAATGTTAGAGCGAACGGTGAAGAAGCCAAAAAAGGGGGGGAAAAGGGTAAATATAGACATTCTCCCCCCAATATGACTTGAAAAGAGACCTCAAAGGAAATAGATGCACCCATTCCCCACCCCCAAACCTCAACTCGACTCCCCATCAGATGTAACTTGAGCTAAGATCCTAAATTGATCCGGATTAAGATCACTTGAACCTGGATCACTTTTTTAAAAAAAATTAAGGTTTATTTATTTATGTATTTATTGATTGATTATTTATTGATTGATTGATTGATTGATTGATTGATTGATGATTTCAGACCCGGGGTGTCTAAAGCCATCATACGGTTAAAAAAAATTGTACATCATAATAAGGTTAAGTTGCTTGGAAGCCTTGTCATTAAAGTCAATTAACTTTTCCCACACTCCTCGCACGTATAAAGTGCAGCCTTGCTTGTCTCTTGGCTGCTAAATTGCTAACATATGGGCGCAATCTATTTCTGCTTTTTTTTTATATTGTGTTCGGGACGGCAGCTTATGATGATTTAAAAGTGGAGTTAGTAAGTACCCAAAGCCCTGGGCTTGACTCTGGCCAAGGTGGTTTGTAGGCAAAAAAGCTTCTGGCAGGAAATGAATAGCTCCCAGATGACATCAGAAACCTGAAAGGTCGTGAGAAAGAAGCGAACCCTTTGCAGTCGGCATGTTGCCAGTCACTCGGGGAATGCTGAAGAGCGCGTTTCAGACACACGAGTTGGGTTAGTTCCCTCCCGGGGAGAGAGGAATCACTTTACTTGGGTCTTAACGCCTGCCTGTTTCCATCAAGTCCATGTCTCACAGGGGCCTTTGCTTTCTTTTCTCTGTGTGTTTCATTCCCTACGTTGCAGCTCCACAAAATACACAGTCAGTTTGCTTTGCGTAGACGTATATAGTTGGGTGTTGGAGATACTCCACTGGTGTAGTAGTTAGCGCTCTCGCCTCGCCTTACCTTGCCTCGCCTTACCTTTGCCTCGCAAGCGAGAGCACCCGTGTTTCACTCCCGGGCAGAGCCAAACTTTAGACGAGCTTCCTTGCTCCACACACGCTTCCGTTTGCCTTGCCGCAAGTGGGAATCCGGTTGTTAGTCGATTGGCAGATCGCTTTGCAGGGGGGTAATAATCCTCTATGGAAAAAAGTAATCACTCCACGCGTCGCAGAATATACTGTGAAGTGAATTGACTGTATATTTTCCGGGCGAAACGCAGCCACCAATGGCTCACAGAGGTGTCCCACAAATAGTCGTGGATTGATTAATTAACCACAACGGAGAAAAAAATGCATCCGTTGTTTTGAGTCGGTATGGTTTCTGAATTTCACCGAGCCTATTTACATAATTTACGTGACTCTGGTGGTGTTAATTCCCGAGTCAAGCAACAAATTGCCGTGGCGCTTGCAAGCTAACCTGTTTTTGATATCCTAGGTAAACGCTGCTACTGAAACTGTCGGCATTAATCAGCAAGCATGAACTTATACACATGGCTCTGCTGGATGTGTTTCAGAGGTGTGGCAAGTAGGACTTGCATGGAGGGCGTAGGAGAGAAATGATTCTGTCCAATAACTCCGCCATAACTCTCGAAACCATTTTCAGAAAGATAGATGTTCTTGATTCTTGATTTATACAGTGAGAAAAATGCAGTGAAATGCAGATAAATTACAAAATATTAACGTGAAATGTAAATTTCTGCAAGTACAATTGGGATGTTGTTTAAATTAGATTTATTAATTATATATATATATAAAGACCAGTTTTAATTAACGTGAAAGTGAAGATAGTGTTTTTCCTCCTATGACGGCTTTTCTTCATTTGTGATCTGAGAAGGTGTACGTTGCCAAGCTATTGTGAAGTTATAGGTGAGCTGTTTCATATCTACCCTTGATGTTCACACACAGGAAAGGGAGCTAGGGCAAATACCCCAGGCAATACCCCTTCCCTGGCCTAGTTAGGAGTCGGGACTTGGAATCACATAGTCTAAGCTGATACTACAATGCAGCGCTGGACCTGTGTTGCGTTTTCGGAGGTGCAGTCCTTCGGATGAGACATTGAACTGAGGTCCCATCTGCCTGTTCAGGTAGGTGTAAAGGTCCCATGGCACTATTCGAAAAGAAAATTGAGTTTCTCTTTCCCTTTGTCCTGGCCAACAATCCCCCCCCCTACTCACCCCCTCCCCCCCCCCCCCACCCCCCACTCACAAATAAAATTGGTCACTCGCTCCACGGCTGTCTGGAGGCATTGGAGGTAGTCCCCCATCTCTACTATTGCTGAAAAAATGCTACTCTATGAAAGAGGTGCATTTGCCCGGTCTTTATTGGCCCTTTGTTGAAATTAACTTGACTGTATATTTGGAGGTTTCAGTAACAGGCGAAAAGACACGTGGCTATAAATGAATTATAGTCGTCTTTTATTAATGTACTGTACGTGCGTATCTCATATGAACCATATCTTTGAATCGTGTTGAAAGTAAGGGTAAAATGTTACATAGATGATATCTGTGTTGCAAAAGGGAATAATAGCAGTCATGCATATGATGAAGTTAACCAGGGATTACATTGGATGACAGCACTGGTGGATTCAGGAAATCTGAGTATCAGTAATGATATGGTTATACTGCATTTCCAAAGTCAGACCGGATCCAGACTCAAATGAATCTTGACCTCTGAAATGTAATACATGTGGTTGATTTATCCCCTTTGACTCAACGCCAGTAAGTTAACCACAGCAGCCCCGAATCTGAACACACACTCCCATAGCACTGCACATACCCTCACCACCCACACCCCACCATTTTGCCGCAACCACTATCGGAGTTTAATGTGTGCTGTTTCTTTACAACTTGTACGCAGGAAAACGTCTCAAAGCGCTTCACGGAGACAGAGTGGGAGCCTGAACAGAATGAGAATCAGGAGGGATTGAAGGTGTAGTCAAAGTGATAGGTTTTTGGAAGGGGTTTGAAAGCAGAATACATCCTTCAGCATATTTGCTGTGTTCAAAAATCAATAATTGCACATTTCGTATTGAATGAATCTATTAAGCAATACAGTGAATTAGACCACTGTACAAAAATATTTTACACTTTTGTTTTACC